TATATATATATATCAATTAATTGAGAATCTTTATGCTCTAACACCTCCTTTTTGCTGCTTCTCTCCCTGCTGTGCTGGTGCTGCTGTGCTGGTGCTGCTGTGTTGCTGCTGCTGTGCTGCTGCTGCTGTGTTGCTGCTGCTGTGCTGCTGCTGTTGCTGCAGTACCGTTGCCATTTAGCCTTTGTTACACCAGACTTTATGTTATATGGTAAATCATGGTGTATAGAGGGAGAGAAAGGAATAAAAAAAGAAGAAAAAGAAGAAAAAAAAGAAGAAAAAGAAAAAAAAGAAGAAAAAAAAGAAGAAAAAAATTTATTAGGAATTGTTACGATGGAGGATGTCTTAGAACAACTTATTCAAGAAGAAATTCTTGATGAATTCGATAGAAATAAAGTATTCTGCTGCTGCTGCTGCTGCTGCTGCTGCTGCTGCTGTTGCTGTTGCTGTTGCTGTTGCTGTTTGTTTTGCTGCTGCTGCTGTTGTTGCTGTTGCTGTTGCTGCTAATGTTGCTGTTGCTGTTGCTGTTTTGCTGTCATTTTGTGGTCGTATGGATATGTATCTTATCTCTATTCCTATCTGCTGCTGCTGCTGCTGTTGCTGCTGTTGCTGCTGCTGCTGCTGCTGCAGGATACAAGCCGTGGTATATTAAGTCGTCGTACAGGGGGTACATTTGCTGCTAATTCTTTTGGTGTTTATGAAGAAAAAATGAATAAAGAAAAAGGAATTTTCTTTGTACCTTCTGCGGTGTCTAGGGATGTACAATCTGCTGCTGCAGCAGCAGCACCAGCAGCAGCATCACCTGCAGCAGTTGCAGCAGCTACAGAGGCTGCTGCTGTGTCTGCCGGTGCCGACATGGCAACAGAGAGCGAGCTGGCAAGTGCTGTAGCAGCTGCAGGAGCTAGTGCTGCTGCTGCTGCTGCCGGGTTTGCTGCTGCTGCTGCTGCTGCAGGCAAGGAGGAGCCAGCAAGCAGTGCAGCAGAACGTGATTCTTCTGTGACTACAACAGCTACTGCTGCTGCGGCTGCTGCAGCTACAGCAACAGCGTTAGCCAGCAGCGCATCACCTACAGCAGCAGCAGCTGCTGCTGCTGCTGCAGCTGCTGCTGCTAAGTCCCCTCGGTTTAAGTTTGCTGCTGTCCCCACACCTGACCACACCGCAGCAGCTACAACGCCTCCAAGCGCTACAGAGGCTTCGCCTGCAGCAGCAGCAGCAGCAGCAGCAGCAGCAGCAACAGCAGCAGCAGCAGCAGCAGATGGGTCTCCTGCATCACGTAGGATTGGGGGGGCTGCAGCAAAGGCAACCAGCAGCAAACACATTTTGCATACAGCGCTGCGTGGGACCTTAGCGAACGACTACCAGCAGCAGCTGCTGCAGCAGCAGCAGCACCAGCAGCAGCAGGAGGTTGGCGTCCATAGACCAGGCTGGGATAGTGCTGCAGCACAGGCAGCACCAAGACACAGCCGCACAAGACAGCTGCTGCAGCAGCTAGATGCTGCTGGTCGGTACTTAACTCGCCGCTGCTTCTCTCAGTCCTTTGTGCAGCAGCAGCAGCAGCAGCAGCAACTGCAGCAGCAGGATGGGCATATAATAGGAGACGATGTGGCGCAACAGCAGCAGCAGCAGCATATATACCGCAGCAGCACGAACGTAGAAGAGCCCGTGCCTTATGGTGTGTTGCTGCCTTCCCCCCGATACAGCAGGAGGAGCAGCGACGAGAGCAGCAGCAGCAGCAGCAGCAGCAGCAGCAGTAGCAGCAGCAGTAGCAGCAGCAGACAGTACAACAGTTTTGCTGCAACTCCTCAAGTGTTACTAATGAGTAGACCGCATGCAGCAACAACTGCAGCAGATACAGCAGGAGCAGCAGGAGCAGCAGCAGCAACACCACTTGCTGCACTTGCTGCTGCAGCACCATCAAGACTTAGCAGCTATAAAGAAGCACTATTAGCAGCAAATAAAAAAGAAAAAAAACAAAAAAAAGAAATAAAAAAAAAAGAGACAAAAGAATTAATTAAACAAACTAATGCCCTTAATAGTGGTGGTTATGCGCTGCTGCCTGATGTCCCTTAGCAGCAGCAGCAGCAGCAGCAGCAATAGCAGCAGCAGCAGCAGCAATAGCAGCAGCAGCAGTAGCAGCAGGTATAGACCGCTGCTGCAGCTAGCTGCTGCTACTATAACTATGCGCTAGCTGCTGCTAGCTGATGCTAGCTGCTGCTAGCTGCTGCTGCAGCAGCATGTTTGCTGCAGCAAATATATAGCACCGTTTTGCTGCTGCAGCAAGTAGATAGCTGCAGCAGCAAGCAGCTAGCTGCTGCTGCACCAAGCAGCTAGCTGCTGCAGCAAGCAGCCTGCTGCTGCAGCAAGAAGCAGCTAGCTGCTGCAGCAAGAAGCAGCTAGCTGCTGCAACAACTGCGGCCGTTTGTTGCATCTGTTGCAGTAGAGAAGCAGCAGCAAAGACATAGCAGCAGCAGCTGCTGCTGCTGCAACAGTACTAGCAGCAGTAGACTGCTGCTGCTGTTGCTGTTGCTGCTGCTGTTGCTGCAGCAGCAGCAGCAGAACCAAGTAGAACAGACAAGAGACACACAATAAATATAAAAGAAATAAAAGGAGACAAAAGGAGACAATAAATAAAAAAAAAATAAATAAAAAAAAAAGAATAAATATACAATAAAAAGGAGACAATAAATAAAAAAGGAGACAAAATAATTAATTTGTCTCCTTTCTGTCTCCTTTAATA